TTCACAAAATTTATCAGAGTATCTTGTTGTTGTTTTACAATTATTGCACTCTCTTGGTTCACCATATTTAAAAACAGCCTTTTTTAATTCGAAATCATAAATAAACCTTTCTCTACAATATTCCTTTTCATTTTCTAATAGTTCTTTGTTTTCTTTGACTAATTGTAAAAAAAAACTTTTTTCACCTTCAAGGTCAGAATCAGAAGTAGTTGGAAAGGCAAAATAAGCAATATTCCTTATTTCATTATGAATTTTAAGTACCAATCCTTTCTTGTCTTGTGTCAATAACTTTTCGAAGGACATTTTAACTTTTTAATATTTTTTAAAAAAAAAATAATTTGATACATTCCTTTTTTGTGCACTCATTTATCAATATTTTTTTTTTACTGTAGGAAAAATTAAAGAAATTCGAGATACTGCATACTAATGTTCCAAGTGATCCGTTAAAGCACTCAAAAAAAGATTTTAATATCCGCAAGATTAAGAAGGTGAAAATTACAAGAGAAACAATTAAGCATTTATAATATTAATAATAAAAAAAGTAAATCATATAGCGAATCTTTGACACATTTTCAGGTTGAGAGTCAATTTTTTCCTTGTTTCATTTAAATATTTGGTTGAAACTTTATATTATCATTCTCATAACGAATTATTATAACCGATTCAAAGTCCTAGATAGACCTCAATTGCTATTAAACTCCCGATTTTTCCAATTGTTGTTCTTTGTCAAGGATTTCATCACCTATATTTCACTTACCGCTCCATAGATGTCTCCGTTTTTTAAAGAGCGCAACTAAAAACAAAGACTACTAGAAACTGTTTATATCAGGTTTTACCGATTGTCAGAAAATGAAAATGAACTCCAAGTGATTATAAAAACAATTATGATATTGTTATATTGTTATGAAAAAATTTATTACAGTCAAACACCCATCAAATATAATAGGCATGATACAATAGTGGTTAAATCACAATAAAAGATAAGTAATGTTTTATTTATTTTGATTCAATGAAGAGAAAAACACAGATGATTTTAATTTATTTATATAAATATTAAAAATATAAAATAAAACAACCAAAGCAATTGCATTGGAAGCCATTGATGAATATCGCCTATTCTTTGGTCGCTCTGATCTATCCTTCGTTATTGATAATAATATTATTACTATTGCTAATATCATTCTCATTCTTTTCCACTTTTTTATTCTTTTATTTATTCATTCTCTATTGTTTTTCTTCTAGGATTTATCTTTTGTTGTTGGAAGTTTCTTGCAGTGATTTCCTTTTCTTCTCCACCACATAATTTGTGGACTTTATGCCAAATGAAAAATTTGGTCTTTTTATTAAACGATTTTAGAATGCTTCAATTCCCTTGGGTATTTTTGGTTGTCCAGATAATTTGCTTGATTTATGTTTTCCTAGGCTCTATTAGATTAATTATTTTATTAATCTTTTGATTGGTGTTATGGAGCTGATTTTTATAGGTTGATGATATAGCAAAAGGCCAAATAATGGTCCAATAAACAATCTACAAAAAAAGGTAAAACATTTTGTTAATAATTGGTATTTTTTTATGATAATCGATATTGATTTCAATGCGAAGGAGTGTATTATTTGGATCAATAAAATTTTTTTTCCAATTCCATTACAATTCTCTGTGACATAATTACAATTGTTCACTTTGTCTAGTTTTGTTGTAGTAGACCCACCCACCAAATTATAGGATTAAGAATACAGTGATGATATTTTTGTGATTTTTATTTAATATTGTATATATATTTTCCATAATAGCTATTTATAATTTAATTATCCATTCATTGATATTTCATTTCTAAAAAAACGATAATAAAAACAATCAATTAATATTATTTCATTAAATATAATATATACATATAAAAATCAGTGGTAACAACAATATTTCTAATAATTCATAAATAATTCTTATTATTAATGAGAAATTTTGTGTAAAGCTAACAAGAAAGGGTAAGGTTTCTAACGAAATTCCTCTTCTTTAGCTCTCTTTTGGTTTTTGAAGTCTTGGTGACTGCTTCAAACTCTTTAGTAAAGATTAAAATGTAATCTTATTCCTATAATTTTTAATTCAAATTATGTAGATCATTTCTATATTAATATATGCAAAGTGATGCATTATTATTGTGTGATTCATAGAGTCCCAAACGTCTGTCTGATGACGTTATAATCACCCTTTAAATTCCAATTTTTTTTAAAAAATTTATCGATGAAAGATGAAACCATCAAATTTTATAAATAGTTCAAATGCTTTGAATAATAATAATTACATCAACAATGGCGAGAATAATGGTATTAATGATCCTGGCATTAGCAATAGCAATGGCAATGGTATCGAAGAAAAAAGTTAAGTGAAACTCATTAAAAAAAAAAAATTTCTTTTTTCAATATTCTTTTGAATTTTTTTTTTAATACATAACTTTTTGGAAACTTAGAAAATTTTCCACTCGTTACTTATCATTATCATCAACAATTTATAAAAATTGATATTAGAAGAATTGAAACAGAACCGACCAAAAATCAGATTTTTCTTTCATCCGTTCCAAAACTAATGTTATTGTTACGTTTTATCTCTAGTGAATTATGTATCGTTTTGAATGCAACTAAAGATGAATATGTGATTCCATTGGATCAAATTAAAAGATTCAAAGTAACTCAAGAACGAGAGATTATAATCGAATTGAAAAAAAATTTTAAGAAATTTGTAAAGTCTATTATTATTACTATAATTATCATTCATTCATTCATTCATTCATTCATTCATTCATTAATCTACAATAATAATCATTATAATTAATATGATCTTTTATTATTTTCTGATTTTTAAGTATTACAAGTGTCCAAATGGTTTAATACAGCCCAGGGTGGTATCAACTCAAGATCCAACATTTGGAAAATTTAATGATGTACAATTTTTAAAATTCTTGCCATTAGATTGGATTGACAATAATACTTTAATTTTTTTTGGAGAAGCTGTAAGAACGTTAGCATTTTCTAAACTAAAACAGGTAAAACAAAGATTTACAAATTTTTTTTTGGGGATTGAATAAATCTATTTTTTATATGGGTTCGTTTCTTATTTATTGTTTAGAAAGACAAAAAGGTTGACAAGACACTTGATCCCAATAATAATAACAACGACGATGATAATAATGATAATAATGAAAAGGTAACCTGTAAATTTTTATTATATGTATAAGTTTAACATTGCTGAATTTTTCAAATTATTAATCATAATAACCAATCATTCTGAATTAACAATTAAAAAAAGTTGCGAATAATTTGTAACTTTATAACAAGACGACATATTTTACAAAAACCTATGAGTATCACATTTGATGAATTATTAACAAATGTCAGAAATCGTTATCATGATAAGTTAAATTTAAATTCGATTAGATACAAGAATCACATAAATGATATGATAACTTTGATCGATGATAATGACTGGAAAGCTGCTAAATGGGATGCAAAAAAATCCAAGACCAATACCATTTCTATTTTCTTTTATAATATTAAATAATTAATAGATAAAAAAAAAGAATGTGTGTTTGTAAAATCAATTTACTTTTTTTTGCACATCTTTTTTGCTATAAATAAATTAAAGGATTGCTCATTATAAAATTGAAAGTTTTTTGATTTACATATCAAGGATCTTTTTTGAATATAGATAAATTTATTTGATGAATATTCGGATTCTAGAAACGAGATCATGGTGCCAATCATATGATCCAAAGCAGCAATGAAACAATAATGAATTGATTGAAAAACACACAACTTAAAGTAGCACCACACATGTATCCTTCAGATATTGAAAAGATAGGTGAAGGGGTTTTCAACTACATACAAAACTATATGGAAAAATGGCAATAGATATATTGATTATGACAATTATGAATAGAAAATATTTAAAAATTACTGATGAATTTCTAAACAAAGTCGAGCATTTTATTATATATAATCAAGTCCATCAGGAAGTTTAATATAATAATTCATATCCATGTGTAATGAAAGATCTAATTACAAAAGAGTATATCAACATTTGAAAGATGGTGACCTTCAATGGAAATATTCTTGGAATTATCACTGGCTCACCTTCCATTCATGATGAAAATATTGTACATAATGATCTTCAAAGTGGCAATATTCCTCATTCAATAGATACAATAGATACCAAGAACAATTTTTCATATATTGCAGGTTTGGGTTGTCATCTCCAGCTGACAATAATAGTGTCAATGGTATATTATGGGGTACTTTCATATATTGCACCTGAAGTCTTAAGAAAGCAACTATTTACAAAAGAATCAGACATCTATAGTTTTGAAGTGTTAATGACAGAAGGTTCACCACATTTTAGTAATATTTGTAGAGGATAGTGAGACCTAGTTTTTCAATTAATATTCTGAATTTTATATTAATTATTTTTTCACAAATAAATATCAAGTAATTTCAAATTTCCTTATCAACTGACAATTTTGATAGCAAGTCTGTAATTGAATGCATTTTTATCAACTCTTCAATTAAAAAAGGAGAATATGTATCTTTTATCTTCATTTAGCTAAAAATGGGATGTATTATTGTTATTTAGAGGGGAAAATACATGTTTATGATATAGATTATAAATATTACTTGCAAACATTCCTACTAATTTTTGCTAAAAAAAATCATGATAATCATATGATTTATATAATCTTTTTCTGTTGTTTTGTATCTATCTATGGCAACAAAAACATGGAAGGCAAACATGATATACAGCCAAATATAATTGCATTTTAATTGTTCCAAAAAGTACATGTAACTTGATTTAATAAAAGCTATTTTTGAATAAGATGTTGATTCGAAATTGGAAGAAAAATATTAGTATTAAGTATAATATAAATTACATATATTGTATGTATATATAAAGTTAAAAATACACACCTTTTCCCATAACAATCTTTTCATGAATTGTTGGTTTGGTTTCAGGTTCAACTGATTGCACCTTGTTGAATTATCATCATCATCTTTTCTGGAGCTTCAATTGTTGATATCATGACCTGATTAAAGAAAAAAAGAAATACCATTAATTTTAATTTTAATATATTTTTTAATATTGTTTGTTTATTTAATCATTACTTTCACTTGAAATTTCTTGGGAATATTTTCTTTATTCCCTTTATCTTGATTAGATGCCAAATGAAAATAGGACTGTTGAAAAAGTAAAATTAAAGTTTCATAAAATTTGATTAATTGTGACAAATCAGGCCTTTTATCAGGTAGGATGAGAATCCCATAAAATTTTCATTACTTCTACATAAGGAATAGGAATATCATTGGATCTTGGTGTAGTTGGTTTGTCTCCTTTAACAATCAATATAACCATTTCAGCATTTTGAGCAGCTTCAATTTCAAATGGTGGTTCTCCTGTTGCTAATTCCCACATTATCATTCCAATACTATAAATATCTGTTTTTCTCTAAATACTTCTGGTGCAATGTATGGTAATATACCTTCAATGTATTTGGTTCTAAGTTTAACATTAATAAAAATATTTTTTTTCTTCATCTTGATGCAATCCAAAATCTCCAATATAAATTTTAATTTTACAATAGATCTTTATAAAGTAATTTCATTTGATAGTAACTTGGATTTATCTAACCAAGTTAAATCTCCATATTTTGCTCTTTTCAATATCATTATTCCATAAAATGGTATTATTAAATATTTTTTTATATCTCAATTAGTGATTCTCTACTAAATTTGTAGTTTATGATTTTCGAAGAATTATATCATAAATAATTGAATTTACACCAGAAATGATCCATTTAATAAAATCATTACAAATCTACAGGATTTTCCAATAAATAAATCAACTTTAAAGTCTCTACTCTTATAAACTAAATCTTCGTTGCTGTAATTACTGTCATCTTGACATTGTTTGTTTTTTATTTTTTGACAATAATAATTTTTTTCTATGGATTTATTTTTGCAATAATAACAAACAATCTGATACATTAGGATACTTTTACAAAGAATCTGTTGGAGTTTGTCGTAATGAAATTCATTAATTGCTTTTTTGTCATTTAATAATTAATATTTCAAAAAAATAGTTCAATTGATAATGATAACATCATACGAAAGGAAAGAAACATATGGTGATGCCCAATATGAAACAAGTATAATAATAATGCTTCAAAACATGTACACGTCTTTTCCATTCCAAAAAAATGGTTTTACTTTATCTTGTCGAACCATGCTTCAACTACACTGGGACCTGTAATATTTTAGAATGTCAACATCCGACGGATTCTTAATATAAAATACAGTGTGTGTTACGAAATAATTGACCTGTAAACTTGTTTTCTAAACAACCAAAATCCAAAGCCACACTATAAAAATTATATCAGAGGGTCAAGAGATTTTAAATTCTTACATTTAAAAATTTTAATGCGTATTATTATATAGGTTTTAGAGCAATAATTTAAAAAAATTGACATTAAAAATTTTTCTTTTCAAAAATAATTGTATATCCATAATCCTCATAATTTAAACTACGAATTGATTTTTTTTTATTTGTAATTATTATATGTGTTTTTGTGTTAGAGCAAAATTACATGTTAAAAAATTTAAAATTGTTTAAAAAAGAAAACCTTACAATAAAGCAATCGAATTATCTTGTGAGTAATTCGATTTTTTTTCAGGTCAATTTTTTTCGTAACACACTGTATATACATCATCAGGATCAGTCAGTAGAAATTCCGTACAACTTTCAATTCCGTATATACAATATTGTTTTTTAATTTTGTACGGAACGGAATTTATGAATTCTGAAAAGTTGATTGGTGGGGGCCAGTCTGTACGATCTTCGATTCCCAGAGCATTTTTTACTACAGAGGCGCAGATGTACGGAATACGTAACCTCTATAGACTCCATCAGGATGTATATACCAAATGAATTTATCTCCTGAAGTCAAGCACGGAATGACATAAAATCATAAAACTAGGTTCATTTTCTATTTCAAACATATTAACCATTTTATTCTTCTTTGCTTGTTTGATTGGAAAATTAAAGACACTCAGCTCAACCTTCAACCTTCAATAATTTCAAAAATTCATGAGGAAGAGCATATTTGAAAAGAATTGCAAAAAGGATATAGTTATAAACGCCTCTCTTTTTTCTTTAGTAACACTTCTTTACAAAAATGTAGATTTCCCGTTAACATTGAAGATATACGTACACAATATCCACGGAATTCATTCATCTTGGAAATCTACATTTTTTGCTGGCTAAGCGTTTTCGCCTTTTCATGCCAATGTTATTACTACGAATCAGTGACCAACAACGTTCACATTATAATTCCAAGGTTTTATAAATAATTTATATTTTACGGATGTACTGGATGAATTTTCAGATTAAAATTATAGAATCACACAAAGTTAGAATTGCACATAAAAGTACAATAATATATTTCAATAACAAACCGTATAAAGAATACGGGTTTGTTCCTCTGCCAAGGATTCGCTAGCTGTTTTGGGATCATCGTAATGGTGTTGTTCGGGTAGGACTTTCGACAAAGCTAGACTACCTGACAATTCTTACTTTTTACCCTTTTCCCTTTCAACATATAACAAAGTCACATGATCTATTTGATTCACAATAAAGTTCGCCTTGTGAGATATGCTAATCGAATTTTATTATATATAATTAACTGTTAAATGTAAAGTAATTGTTGCAGATCTATTCTTGGCATGTTGCTAGCTGTACAAGCTAAGTCAAATGACCGTTTATTCTAAGTTAAAAGACTGTGCCGCATAAATAGGAAATCAAAATGTATATAAAGGAGAATAAAATAACTTACTCGAAGTAATTAGTGTTGTTGTCATATATTATATTCATTACATATAATCTTTCATAATAAACTTGCACCATAATGAATAAAATATTATCCTCTAATATTATCCTCTAATATAAAAACTTGGTATCTCAAGTTTACATACTATAAAACTTGATTGCGGTATCAGGCAGTGGTTGAAGAAGAAATTGTTGTCATTGTTGTGATGGTAGAATTTGTGGACGAAGGCGTGTGGATAATGAATGGTATTGAATTATTACTAGAATTATGATTTTAAAAGGACTGCCGATAATACATGTAGATGTCACATGCAAAATTATGAAAATTTTCAAGCCATAATTTACGAGTATAAAAAAGTTTTCTTCATTGAATATTTAAAAACGTAAAGATAATAAAAAAAGGGGGAAGGATCTCCAAAAAAAAAACTTATTTTATTTTACCAAAACAGTAGTAATAATCCAAGTAAAGTATTCATTTTCATAATAATCCAAATGGAAGGTATTGATGGAATCATGGAGAAATTAAAAAGAAACTGGTTTTCTAACCAAAGTTAGTAGTTTGCAAATAATTTCTAAATATGGTAATAATTTGCTAGAGAAACCAGTATATACCTCTCTGAAAGTGACGCATCAGACCGCCAAAGTTACAAAAAAGGATAATTTGGACATAAATACAAGCATGTGTCAATGCCCAAATTGCCTTTTTGCCAACAGGACTCTGAAAGCTATATATATGATAGGAGTATAGTTCGATACATTTTCTAATATCTCTATATATAGGAAATTATTCGGATTAAAAAAATTTTTCGGTGGCCAATAAAATGCGTACATTTGTTATGTAAACACGAACTACGCACACTGACCCTGACTGTAACTTCCTTAAATAAAAGGTTGTTATACAACATTACAAGAAGTTCTGCGATATAACATATTTCAGAAATTTGCGAAACTACACGATTATGACCTGAGTGACCTATTTATTATATTTAGCATTTATTTTGACTTTAAGCGGAAAAACTGGTTTCATAGATAAAATCTCAATCTCTAACTAGTATTCCCTATTTGCCGAATTAAAATGTCCTTTTTATGTTGATGATTTACATTGGTTTATAAATTTATAAAACAACCAAATTTAATCTAAACCATAAAGATTAATTGTTTTTGTTGATGCTTTACATCACTATTATTGTTAGCATTCATTATTCGTAATATTCTTTTTCCATTTTGTTTTGAATATTCGAATATTCTCAATACTTGAAAGAAGCATTCTTATTCACATGAAATGATGTAAATATTTCGAACAATAGTAATAGTAATAGTAATGATAGATAAAAAGTTAGGTAACGGTGGATTTGTAACTATTTACAAAGTTACATGGATAAACGGGTAGCTTACGAAACCTATAAATGGTTCTAAATATTTATCTTTCTGTTTATTCTTTAGTTCAAAATCAAATTTATGGGCTACAGTCTAACCTTGTCACAGCGGACCTTGCCACAGCAGACTATAATTAAATTCTTGGCATAACGGGTTTTGCTTCGCATATAAAAACATATAAAAATCCGTTGTCGGCAAGATTAGTTAATTTTGCCATAACGGTTTTTAATTAAAATATTCTTGTTATTATGCGTCCCGTTCATCCACTGTGGCAAGGTTTGGCTGCATCAAAGATCTAATTACATATTCGCGATGAAATACATTAAAGACGGAAGTCTTAACAATTTTAGAGATTTAAAATAAATCAATTCATATAAAGCAAAAGAATCAGGGTGTAGTAATAATAAAAGGAATAGATTGTCTCCAAAACTGTTTATGACATGATTTTTTCTATTTTTATTATTATTTAATCATATTTATGATAGTGATTACATGAAACTCTTCGATTTACCATCTTCATAGTCATCCCTTCAGCAATTTACCACATTATAATTTTTCAAGGATTTTCAAATCGACCAATAATCTAGGAATTTTAATTTTTGGTGTTTTCGACTTGACACATTTTTTACCCCTAAACTGCATATAATAATAATTTTCAGTTGTCGATCAAAGAGTTTCTTGAATGTATCAAATAGAATATAATCGTTCAACGTGTCAAACCTTTGAGTTCTAATAAGGTCACAATTATTGGCAATCATGACGGTAACTAATATTATTGATAATTCTAATGATGTTACTCATTGTTGTTAACATTTTTAAATTGATAGGTCCTGGCCAAATTGAATTAACTATATCTGATGAATTGCCCGACGACAACAATAAAGATATTATATCACAAAAAAAGAATATGCTTACTTTTGGAACTAATGTGTACCAACAAATGTATTATCAATCTTGATGATTGAAAATCCCTTTCATTAATATTAATTAATTATTATGAAATTTGGTAATCATCAACGTGTACATCACTTATTAAACTCTGGAATTAAATGCAAAGAATTTAAAGTTTTCAGTTATATTGTTCGTTTATAGAATTTCGAAAAAAATTATTTTTAGACCGACATTTTGTAAATTTAATCGTTTGATCCAATAGCGAATTTAATAACACATGATTTATTATTACCCGTAAATGAGTCCCGGTATTCTTTTTTATAATAATAATAAAAAAAAGGATGGCTAATTGGATTTATTGATTGGAAAAATATTTCGGTATAAATAGAAGGTAAAAAATGAATTCAATTGTTTTTTTTTCCCTAATTAAATTGTCATCATAAACATGACCGATCCAAAAGAACAAAATTCCAATATCATTGAATTAACTAATAATGACCTTGAAAAACGACATGATGATAATAATAAATCAGATGTAATTTTTAATTTTTTTTTTAATTAAAATTTATATTTTCTCTGATTTTTTCTTTTTTTTTTAAAAAAAATATTAATTTTTTCAATAATTAGTCGTATTTATCAAGTGTCACTTTAATCCTTGCTTTCAAAACGCTTGGTATTTATTTTATTCTATCATTTATTTGTTGTTATATTGATTAATCACGATAATTAACATGTGACAACTAAAAGGTGTGATTTATGGTGACATTGGAACATCACCTTTATACACAATCAATACTATTTTTACGAATCCACCAGCAGATGAAAAAGATGTTCTAGGTAAAAATATAATAATAAGCGATTTATGATTTATTAACTAAACTTATTGATCTATACCAACTATTCTAATATCAATTGTTTAATTAGGTGCTGTGTCTTTAATTATTTGGTCATTGGTAAATATAATAAATCAATCGATCAATAAATAATTTTTTGTTAGTAATCATTTATTAATTTGTAAAATGTTATTACTTTTTATTGTTCTTCTTAACATCGACATCATCTTCAACATTCTCCCTTCTTCGTCATGTCAATTAGACAATTTTACCTATGATAAAATATATTTTTATCATCTTAAGAGCTGATGATAATGGTATGGGTGGTACATTTGCTCTTTATTCTTTGATATGCAGGTAATTTTGACCCATATTTTTTTTCTCAACTTTAATTTATTTGAGAGGAAAATAATACTAAAAAAAATTTTTAATAAATTTAGACATTCTAGTTTATCAGTTCGAGGAAAAGAAAGATCTGATGATTTAACTATAATGAATTATGATTCAAAATCGATTCACAGCTTAAAAGATAAAAAAAATATAATTTCCGGAAACAAATTTGTTCAAAATGCTTTGTTAATCTTGGTGTTACTTGGTGCTTCATTGATCATGAGTGACGGCTTGTTAACTCCTGCTATTTCTGTAATATCTGCTGTGGAAGGAATGGCTGTACCTGCTCCAGGTTTAGCTGGTGCCATTGTACCATTAAGTTGCACTATTATTGTGTTATTATTTCTAGGTCAAAAATTTGGTACAAGTAAAGTGGGAGCATTATTTGCACCAATTGTTTCGCTCTGGTTCCTTTCTTTGGCAATAATCGGTGCTTGGAATATTTCTCAATATCCTCAAGTTCTTAAAGCATTTAATCCACAATATGCATTCGAATATTTTATAAGAAATGGTGAACAAGGTTATAATAGTTTGGGCGGTGTTTTGCTTGCAGTCACTGGTGTTGAAGCATTGTATGCTGATTTAGGTCATTTCTCAAGAAAATCAATACAACTATCATTTCCACTTTTCGTTTATGTACCACTAGTAATGGCTTATTCAGGTCAAGCTGGAAGATTAATATTAGAACCTGAACTTATTAATGGTCCTTTGTTTTGGTTGACTATACCACAAAATCAAGTAATATACTGGATCGTATTTGTATTGGCAACCTTGGCAACTATTATTGCGTCACAAGCAATGATCACTGCTACCTTTTCTTTAATTCATCAAGCAATGCAATTAGATTGTTTTCCAAGAGTTAGGGTATGGATTGGATTTATTTATTTATGAATTTATATATATATTAGTTTATTATATCAATTTTATTTTTTTGAATTTCTCTATAGGTTATTCATACATCAAAAACTGTTCATGGACAGATTTATATTCCAGAGGTAAATGAATATATAACATGACTTCTATAATTTCTATAAATTCTTACAATTTCTATTATATTTTTTCCAGATAAATTATATTTTGATGATTGCAACGGTTTTGGTTTGTGTTGCATTTCAAAAATCAGCAAATCTTACAAATGCATACGGAGTAGCAGTAATTACAGTTGTATTTATATCAACAATATTGGTTTCCATTGTGATTCGTATAGTTTGGAACTTACCATTAATTGTCAGTATAATGTTTTTACTAATATTCGGAGTAATTGATGTTTCATTTATGGGCGCCACATTCCTTAAAGTACAATATGGTGGATGGTTTACATTGGTTTTTGGATTCATATTATGTATAGTGATGTGTATTTGGAAATGGGGCACAAACCTTCAATTGGCATATGTGATGAAAAATAAAACCAATCTTGATAATATATTTATAACGGAAGAAGATGATGAGAATGACCGTGGTGATGATAGTGGCGATAGCACTGCGGGTGGAGATATTGCTATAGATTCTTCTAGATCTTCTGCAAGAAAAAGAAAAAATAATGACTTAAGACTTAAAACTAATCAATATCCAGTTGTGAGATTACCTGGCATCGGTTTATTTTATAATGAAGTCGCTAGTGGAATCCCGATCACCTTTAGTCATTTTATAAATCATTTACCTTCTTTGCCAGAGATTCTAATATTTATAACGATCAGACCTTTGGCAATACCATATGTTGGTGAGGAAGATAGATTGGTGGTGCAAAAGATTGGTAAATATAAAGGATTCTATAGAATTATCGCAAGATATGGTTATATGGAATCAATTTCTCAAGATAAAGAATTTATAAAGAAAATTGCTGATATAATACGAAATGATGATATTTACAATGATGATAAAGAGATCGGAGTTAATGTTAATCATGACGTTGTAACTTATATTGTTTCTACACAAAAACTTGATCCAAAACCGAATTCTAATTGGTTCAGAAAAGCTTTATTAGAATTTTACATGTTTCTAATAAATAATTCTAGACAATTATATGGTAATTGGAATATACCAATAGAGGATGTTATTGATGTTGGCATGAAAATTGCTGTTTAAAAAAAGTTGTAAATTGTTGTAGTATTGATAAAAGTTTAATGTATTATTATTATATCATTATAAATATTTTTATTATATATATTTTTGTGTTTTATATTATTAATAAAAATACATGTTTAATCTAAATTTTTTGTATATTGAATCGGTTTTTTAATGGTTACAAGAAAACTGTTGTGTGTGAAATTTGAAATTATGTGAAATTGAAATCTATGAAATTCTAATTGGCTAATTTGAATTTCACGTACGTGAATTACAAATTCACATAAATTTCATTTTCACGCACAACGAAACAAAAAGAAATGTATCTCAAGTAAGATGGATGAGTGAATGAATGGTTGACGGAGAATATATGAAGTAGAAGGTTATCGAGTATGTAAGTGATAATTAAAAGATTTTGAAGATAGATTTTGAAAAGAGATTGTTAATAGGAGTCGCTCAATTGATATGAATTTTAATTAATAAAGGGGAAAAGGGGATGTGTATAAGCAATTGCTAATAGATTCCAGGAATAAAAATATATGGCACACGTTTACAATATTCTTGCCAGTCGTTTCCATATTTCCTGGAACATCTTTCCATATCTCTAGTAACACGATGAGTTAATACAACAACAAAGAAAGCTGGATAGAAAAATGGAATGGGCGTATTAAATCCAGTGATGAACCCCCAATCAAAAGCCATCAACAAATCTGCTGTATAATGAATTTTACGTGCAATTCCCCACCATCCGCTTGTAAGCAATAGGTTTCCTTGTTTTGTTTTAATATAATCGGGGTTTTTCAATGTCCCCCATGGAAGTTGAGGAAATGTGTATCGAGGAATGTAAGTTCCATTGATTATCATTCTAAATCGATTTTTTTGAGAATTTGCAGTGTCCCTAAAAGGAAAAATTAATACAATGACATAATGAATTGATTTAACAATTGTAATCAATAAATAATAACCATGATAATAATAATAGCAATAGTAAATACCACATATAATAAGCTGATAATAATAAACCATAGCAAAAATATGTCCAAAATGATGAATGAGTAATTGGATGACCATTATCAACACTTGAGATGTGAAGATATAATGTAGAGTAACAATATGTGAATGGCACTAAAAAAATTTACGAAAAAAAAAATAACTAGTTAGATTTTTAATTAAAAAAAAAATTTTTTTTGCTGAAAATTTGATTTTCATACCTCCAGCAAAATTCCAAAAAATAAGCATAAATCCAAACTAATAAAAATATTTAGCACAATTAATTAATTAATTCATTTATGTCATCAATTAATGAATTGATTGGTTACCTTTTCATAAGTCATATCCCAAGTTGTAGGAATACATTCTTCACCTTTCATACATGCATTCACATATAGGAAATGTGCAAGTACCATAAATGCCATAGATGATGAGACATAACCAAACATTTCATATTCTTTAATAGCAGCAGATACCGAAATATAAAATAAAATTACCTATGTATTATTATTATTTATTTATAAATAAATCAATAAATGAATAACAATAATGAAATAATTATTCTTTATTTTTTAGATAAAGAAGAAAATACATAAATACCCAAGGAATTCTGATTTCAGCAAAAATTTTCAAATCAACTTTTCCAATTCTAGGATTTAAAGCAGCTCCCATAAAAAGATCATACATCAAATATCCTGACATACGATATTGCTCACCTTGAAATATTGTAACAGCATAAATAATAAATGTAATCAAGAAACCAAAAATTATTGCTACACTCATCAAAGGTCCAAAATTATCAATAATGTCTGTCAATTTAAACAATTCATAATGATGAAGTAGATATGATGTAAAAATGGTCACATAAAATGACCAAACTCCATTACAAAGATAATCCAATTGTCTTCCTTTCAATGAAGAAACAGGTGCTCCCTTAACTATAGGTCCTGGCATAGTATAAGCCAAAAAAAATTCAAAAACGCAAAATGTTATATAGATTTTAGCTGCATAAAAAGTTGGCATTGAGCCTTGTATTATCGATGTCCATAATTTTTCATTCAAAGGTGACTCCAATCTCCCGCGATAAAATTGTAGACATCCCCATAAGTAATACATTAGAATGGGAAAGCCGATCATCATTGCGGTAACTCCCCATGGTCCACCAAATTCGAAAACGATTTGAGAATCCACCATTTCATCAAGTTCATTAAATTTCAAATTAAGTCTTGTAGCGTCTTTTTCATTTTTTTGTTTTATTGTGTTTGTTGTGACGATTGAAGCACCTTTATGTGATGACATTGTTACTTATTTTTCGATAAAAAAAAGATTAAAATTCAAGGTTGCAGATTTAAAAGGAAACGATGATACATACATACTATATACTATATTGGTTCATTTGTTACACGTAAATTTTTTTTACTAAGATACAAATTTTAAAGGAACAAATTACATTCATACTATATTGGTTCAATATTAAAACACATTAAAAAAAAATTTTGCCGTGTTACTGTCTTTTTCTAAATTCCGTAATTTTTTGTCGATTTTGCAAATTAATCTTCTTTTTGTGTTAAGTTCTGTTTGGTTTTTGGTGCGATCAACGTTTTCACCTTATTTCGAGTCGCAATTGCAATGAACTTCCGCTTCCCCATTTTTTTTTATTCGAAAAAAGGTTCGAATAAAATATGTTGATTGTTGATCATCTATCGAATTAGGATTTTGTTGTAAATCAGCATGGTGGTACACAGAAAAACTGTTGAAATACATACAACGCGTTTTTTAAAGATTGATCAAGGAATAATGTTTAAAAAAAAAACTCTTTCTGCTGATCATTTGAATAAAAATTTTCAAAGAAAAGAATTTACTGTTTTAATTAAAACAACCAAATCAAAAACATATTTTACTTTATTTTTCATCCATACAATAGTTATTAATCCTAGTTAAGATGACAAATAAAAGAAATTGTAA